CTGATTTCAGTAGATATTTACAACAGCAGATATTTAAAAATCCTATGTGTGCTCAATTATTGCATGATATTTAAATATTTAAATAAACGTCCATTTCAGGAAGATAATTGTAAAAATTATGTTTGGCAAATCAATTATAGAAGCGAAAACTATACTACAATACGTTAAATGTGTACCAGATCATAAAAACACAATCAGCTGACTCGTTCAATATTTATAAATACGAAATTGTAGGTGTGATAAAACTTTTCAACAGTAAGAGAAATTTATTAGTGACATATCCGCCTATAGAAACACACGCATGTAATATATAAATGAAAGGTGACACAAGCTGAAATCTATAGGCAATCCTATGGAACTATCAACCTATAGAACTATAGAAATACCATCCACTTAGTAACATCATGTGCCTATAGACCATTAGTAATACAAGTCACCTAGTAACACGTTTACCTTTATAAAGTAAATTATGAAAATTAGTTTTAACTTTGGTTAACTGAAAATTACAGCATAATTTGAATTTCAATCATAATTAGAATAATGCAATTGTAAGAATAATAGATAGTCACTAAACTAGCTAAATTAGCATATAGAACTAATTTTATGTAGAATAACACAGAAACTGTTTTTTTTTGTTGTAAACGAAAGTAATTTAATATACAGCTGAAGTTTATTTTGTAAATATATGAAGTTGTTTACTATATAAATAACCTGTGTTAGCTGCGTGTTGTTGTAACTCACACAAAAATCTACTGAGAATGTTAAGTTCCAATAAATCAACCCAGAAATGAATTGCTTTCTGTAATGAAAACTGTTAGCACTATGAGCATAAAATGATAAACGTTTCAACAAGCAATAAAAATTGTTGAAGTTATAGAAACTGTTTCATAAGGAATGTTTCAAACTGTTGTTTAAACAATAGAAGAGGTTGAAGTTAGAGAATTATTTTTATAAAGAGTGTTTCAAATCATTGGTCGGATCATTACAACAGGTTGAAGTTATAGAACTGTTTTTATAAAGAATGTTTCAAACCATTGTTCAGAGTTTTACAAAATGGTGAAGCTGTTGAACTGTAATTCTAAATAAAGACTCAAACGACCAAAAGGTTTAAGTTACATGGAAAATAGTTATGATTTATAAATAACGTTTAAACCATTTTTCAGTGCATTTCAAGAGGTTCGACGTGTATGTTGCAACACTGACTATTTTTGTAAACAGTGTTTCAACCATTGTTCTGGGCACTAAAAGTGGTTGAATATATATATATATATGCGTGTGTAGGAAACTGTTTTTAAACAGTGTTTCACCCATTATTTCAACCAAGTATTCGAAGACTAAATCGTATTTAGAAGTACCATTTGAGTAAATAGTGTTAACAAACTTTGTGAATTTTGGTACTTGCATGTTTTCTGTAGTAGTATTCATTACAAAGGAATTTTCACATAACAAAACACATTCGCCAGCATGTACAAATATGCAAGAATAAAATATTGATTGGTACTGCGTGGTTTGTAAGTGTTGGAGCATAGTCTACAAGTCAATTTTAATTAGCACATGGCGTAAAAATATTAAAAGATCAATGGAGAGCATACAGCGCTATCTAGAAAATAAAAAAGCCAATAGAGTTTCAATATGGCTCACAGTAAATGAGCTTTCTTATAAATAATAACAGTTTGAATTTTTAATATTTTGAATTTGCAAACGCGAAGCAATGGAACTTAATATCAATTTTATACAAACTTTTTAAAATTGATTTCCTTACATAAAAATACGACAAAAAGTTACACTACTATAACAATAAGAAAAACAGAACTTATCAAAAACGGTGTTCTATTAAATGACAAGCATTATGAAAGCGTAGAAAATAGGAGTAAATCATATATATATATATTTCTTATCCATCACATTACTTTATTCAATATAACAGCAGACAAACGATCATTAATAACTTGTCGAGCTTAACACGCGACGGACAAATTCTTCTCTGCTTAGCAATGCGATGATTGAGAACCCTGTGCAATCCAAACGTGGGATAGGTCAAACCATATCGGTCAGAGTCTAACAACTTACAAAGTCACGCCACTCGAATCACTTTAGCGAACGAATGGTGGACTGCTCGAGTTAATTGTTTACTTTTTTCTCGGGCAGAACTAGTAGATGTGAATAACGCCTACTTCTTGAAAAGTCTACGTCTAGTAATTCAATCCTTTGATTTCTAAAAACACATGACTACTAGTAAAAAAAAAAGTTTGATAATAAACAAAAGTCTTTGTATGTGAATATGGTAAATATATCATGAATTGTATTCATGATTTTCAGTGGATCATTTTGTAAATTATAAGTAGAGGACATAAAAACCGATATGGAAAACAATATTACAAAACCAAATAGGAGAATTTTCATTGATAACTTAAACCAAACTGAAAATAATTTATCACGAAATAAAAAATCGAAAAACGTGGGCACTTTCGAAAGGCAAGACTTCCTTCTTTCAGGTTGAACTGTGAATGTCTGCCGAATTTTCTTATTTTGTAATTTATCAGTTTTTCACTTTGCATAATTTCAAATATAATGATTTATTATGCACCAGAGTTTAGAACATAAAATGAAATATGCCGAAAAGTTATTTCAATTTGAAATATCCAGTCCTCGATGAAGTCAAGATTTAACAAGATTGCATTTCTCACTGTAAATATTAACTTATGATTGATAAGTTTTAGAATTATTTCTGCACAGCTGCCGGCTAAACTATTCTTTCTATTCTCTGAACGAAATCCAAGGTTGTCGCCAAGATTTTTTTCACTGGGGACCATTTTTTGAAATAAATAATATATATATATAGGCCTAAATGAGTAATGGGGCAAAGTAATTTTCAAGTCAATGTTTTTTTGTTTTTAGTTTAGAATTTGTTGTAGATATTATAGGGATTTAGACATTTTGACAAAAAAGTTATTGTACTACTAGCCCTGATGAAGTCGCAAAGGGAAAAGTTGGCTGAAATAAAATGTTTTTTTTTATTAGTATCTGGAGGGTAAAGGTCATATTTTTCTACCTTCTACATAAATATAAAGCCACGTTCGGCTGTTTTTTGCAGAATTAGGTTTAATTTCCCATGACTATCAAAATGCAGTTGGAGTTCAAAAGGGTGGTCGTCCATACCCGATGATCCCACCCATCCTTAGCGATGCCCATAGAATCCTGCAAAAGTTGTAGATACAAAAAATCATTACAGTTTTAGGACTAACTTATAAAAGCAAACAGAAAAACAACAACAAAAAGTAATATTACAGTGCTGGTGGAGTAAGAAAACGCCTGAGTAATAATATACATGAAAAAGAAACCCTTAATTTTTGTCGTCTTTATTTTACTTCAGTACGAGTAGAACTTGTCTGCACCATCTATTATTTTTAAATTTTTTCTTGCATTCGAACTTCCCTAAAAATTACTTGGTGGCGAAGATATAAACATTCTGAAAGTTTTTGCTGAAGTCATCGGTGAAAACAGGTTTAATTATCTTTATAAATACTTGAGTTATGAGTCAAAATGTGGCAGACAACAAACATAATTTCATTGAAAAATAGTGGATTTCTAATACACTAGCGTTATAAAAGTATAACACTAGATTGTGGTACACAACAGACAAAGTTCCAGAATTCATGAACCCCGTGAACTAACAAATTTCTATTCTTTGCCGTGATGTTTACCAAGATAAATAAGCAGAATAATATCACCGAAGTAAAACACTCTTACTGGCTGAGGTTTCGATCAATCGCTCTTTGTAAACGCTTAAATAAAACGTAACAGAACAAAAAAATGTGCATGTTAAGTCAGATCAGGCACAGTATGAAGGTAAAACTTGCAGCACACCAAAACTGGGGTGGTTTGAGTTGTTAAAAAGGATCTTACTTGAAATAATTATAGGGTTAACCCATTAGTTCAATTGGCAGAGAACTGGCTTAGCATATGTTTTTTTTTTTGTTTTAGAGCAAAACCACATTGGACTTTCTGTTGTGTCTACAGCGAGAATCGAGCCCTGTATTTTAGTGTTGTGCGTCTATACACTTACCACTGTCCCACCGTGGAACTCGGCATACGAGAGGTTCCGGGTTTGTAGCTAAAACACTCTGTTTGATTTTACTTATTTATTATCATTACTTATTTGTTTTACTTAAACACACGTATAGGCATTCTTGGAAGAAAAGTAAGAGATGTATATATACAGTTCTTTGTCAAGCCTTGGTTAATCTATCACTACAACAGAAAAACACTTAAACTTTTGTCATATTAAACGAAAATAAAATCACGAAACTTCAACAATACTGCTACAAGGTAGACAGCTATTCTTGCAAAAAGGAATCTCTGCTGGCGACAATTTACTATATTTTAAATGTTATTATATTAGCTAGTTAAGTAATTTCAAAATGAATATGAAGACATATAAGTATACATAATATTATTTGTGGTACATATTCATCCAACATATAGAAATGAAAATTATTATGGAAACAGAGAAGCGATGCACATATAGAAATAGTTGTCATACATTAATTAATGTACGATTGTGAAATATTGTTCCAAATGTTCTATGTTACTCCCTACAATTCAGCCATGTTGTTTGGTAACCATTTCACCTTCTCAATTCTTACGGTAAGTCTATACAGATTCAAGAATGTTTATATTGGGACTTTGTACAAGCCATGATTGTGAGTGTTCCGTCGGCCTAATTATTATCAAGATATCGTTTCTTATTGAATTCATTGTCTTGCTGGAAGATTAATTACTGTCTGATGGACGTGTTTCTGAGGAAATGGCATGATGGGTCAAAATCGGCCTGCATTTGTCAGCAGTCAGGGCGCTATCAATTTTGTGTAGATCACCGACATCGTTGTAGTGACTTCTCACTATGCATCACTGTAACTGTTATACATTGTCTGTGATATCGTTCTTCTCTTTGTCATCGATCGTTGTCAAGCGATTCGAACTCGAATTCATCTGTAAAAAGTAAAAAGCATATGCTCCCAGTTCCGCTCCTTCCATTGTCTGTGATATCGTTCTTCTCTTTGTCATCGATCGTTGTCAAGCGATTCGAACTCGAATTCATCTGTAAAAAGTAAAAAGCATATGCTCCCAGTTCCGCTCCTTCCATTGTTTGTGGTTCGATGCGATCCCTATTTTAACCTTTTGGTTTGATAACCTCTTCTCACCAGCGGTTTTTGAGTTGCTACACATGTCCACTGAAACCCCCCTTCTTGCTAATGCGTAACTTACTGTTCTTGGTATATCATTCACGTCTGTATATGCAGCAAGGTAGTTAGCAAGATCTGTACTCAACAGCCGCTTATCTCTTAAAGAATACACCCTAAGGTACTTAGTATCCCCTTTCAGTTTAGTATCTATATCTCAACCACTTCTATTATTGACAGTGATAGCCTCTTCAAAGTCTTAGATACGGCTCCTACTGAAATATGGAGTCTTGCTAAAATATTTTGACATGGTATGACTGTCTGTACTTCTATGGGCTTCATACTGGTGTGATGTGGCACCTTCAACTTGTTTGAATGACAACCAATTACAGTATAAACTAATAATATGAGACTTTACTTTGAAGCAGTTTATTTTCTCACCATAAACATCTTAGATTTCTATAGTATTTGTTTTTATGCCCTTTTCTCTCATCGCTTCCATTACTATATCCAATAATATTTTTTCCAAAGATAATTCTTAAGTTGCACTCTTTAAATCCTATTGGTATTTTAGGTTATTTTAAAGACTAAGCACTCCTTTTTTATAGGTATTCAGTTTGTGTATTATTTTCATTAAATTAGCCTTCCAAGTTTTTAAAACTCTAAATTCTTTTCACAAGTTTCTCATTTCTTTCTAAGACTGGTTGCCTTTACCATACCCCTAACATTTTTGTCCATTTACTCTTCCATACCATAAAACAAAATGTTTGTACAGAATAATAATAAATATTATTATGCATAAGCATATTTTGATTTATTTATGCATATTTCGATTCATTTATGTATATTTCAAACTTATTTAGCTAACCAATCATAACAGCACAATCAAAATCCGTTCCCATCATTACTGACGGACAACCCAACACTTCCACTCTTCTCTATCTGGTATGTCTGCGGACTTACAACGCTAGAAACTGGGTTTCGATACTCGTGGTGGGCAGAGCACAGATAGCCCATTGTGTAGCTTTGTGCTTAACTTCAAACAGACAAACAAACTTGTTGCAGTTCTTCTTACGCTGACCCAGAAGACTCCATGTCCTATAGGACAGTTATCTTCCAATAGTCACATAAATAAACAACATAATTCATTTGAAATTAAATAAATTACCACCAGTTGCTGTTTATTATGCTAGCATTGTTTTATTCCTTATGTCAATGGTTTTGAAGCATTGTGATTTTTCTCGTGTAATATATAACACTAAAAATAGTTGAAGCAGTTACTTGTTGTACCACTAGGCTTAAAGAAAAGTTTCACAAATACCATTTGCTCGAAACATTGCCTAATAAAAGTTTTCTACTTAGGTGATGCTATTCCGCTTACTTTTGAATGTTTAACCACCTTTGCTTTTTTCGAAAATGTTATAGTTATCAAAACACATAACTCGTACCACAGGAGTCACAGATGTAGACAAGTACCTCCACTGTATATAGATCAAACCATCCCAGCAGTTTAAAGACCGGAGTTATGAACTGGCTACTTTCTACTCTCCAGAATGAACAATAATTGTAGTATAGAAGATGTTAAGAAAGATTGTTTGTTTGTATATTGAATTTCACGCAAAACTACTCGAAGTGTATCTGCAGTAATCCTCCCTAATTTAGAAGTGATAGACTAGAGGGAAAACATCTAGCCAACACCACCCATCGACAACTCTTAGGCTACTCTAATCGAATAGTGGGATTGATCGTTACATTACACACCTACGACTGAAAGGTCGAGCATTTCTAATGAGGAGAGTCAAACCTACGATCTTCAGATTGTTAGTCGAACGCCCTAACCACTAGGTCATGCCAAACCAAGAAAAGTAGAAAGCAATCATTCTAACTCTCCTTCACAATAAATACACTGAACACTTGATAGAGAAAGAAAATAAGAATATAGACCCCCAAGAATAAGCAAGAGGAAATTACAGCTACATTTCCCTATGTCAAAGCTGTCTCTATAAAGATACAAAGATAGTGTGAACAACATAAATTCAGAACAGTATTCAGAAGCCAAAAGAAAATATAATCATCATTAACAACAACAACAAAAAACTATCTAAAGACCCAATGGAAAGCAAAAATACCACACAACATCCCCTGTTAATGTGGACTTCAACAGATTAGAAAAGCAATAAGATTTGTTTGTTTGTTTTGAAGTTTGCGCAAAGCTACACGAGGGATATCTGCGCTAGCCGTCCCTAATTTAGTAGTGTAAGACTAGAGGGAAGGCAGCTAGTCATCACCACCCACCGCCAACTCTTAGGCTACTCTTTTACCAACAAATAGTGGAATTGATCGTCACATTATAACGCCCCCACGGCTGAAACGGCGAGCATGTTTGGTGGGACGGGGATTCGAACCCGCGACTCTCAGATTGTGAGTCGAGCGCCCTGACCACCTGGTATTATCCTTCTTTAAATAAAAATATTAAAAAAATGACGATTGTTCAACGTATTATTTAATTACCATATCCTCCTTGTCAAGATTGCTACCAACACAAAAGTACCTTGTTACTGTAGTATTATTAATTATTATTTTGTTGTTTTTAGTGTTATTGTTTATTTTAATGGTGGGATTGATCGTCACGTTATAACGCTCCCACAGCTGAAAGGGAGAGCATGTTTGATGGGACGGGAATTCGAATCCGCGGCCCTCAGATTGCGCGTAAAGCGCCCTAACCACCTGGCCATGCCAGGCCTTTTCCAGTTTGAACTACAGATTGTTTGTTTAAAGTTTTTGTATTTACGTTTTATTAAAAACCTCATTTCTAAAAACAAATTACAAGAACTAAAAAGAAAAATATCATTTGATTTCTTTCGTTTGTCGAAAAACAAAATTTTTGCTTTATTTAATATCCCCGGATGACTCGTTGGTAATCTTGAGAACTTATAATGTTAAAAATAAAGGTTACATCCCTGCATTGGGTATAACGCAAATACCCCTATGTGCAACTCAGCTTTGTGCTTAATAACAAACAATAATAATTTATTTATTTGCAAAGATTTGTTAAAGCGTAAATGTCGTTTATTTATGTAGTAAATATAACATGAGTTATCTGTGGTCACAAAAATATTCATCGTTAATTCTTGCCTCCCACTGTTTACTGTTGATCGCACTAAAAGGACTAGGAACCAATTACTTTAAACTTTGATGTGAGTAGCAATGCCATTGGCTATGGTGTTAGGAGTTGGCTGAAAACTAAAGAAAATGTTTTGTGTCTGCAACCGTTAAACATTCGCTTTCCTTCAAGTAGAGTTGACAAGTGAACACCCAATAGAAGAAAAGCTTCAAAGATGAAATTCTGGCTGAGTTCAGTTCTGCTGTTTGTTCTTGCTGTCTATATTGATGCCCACTTGGTGAATATTCAAGACTGTGGTGAGTTCAAATCTACCTTCAAAGTCCGAGTTTTAAGGGTAGCTATGAAATGTAAAATTAGCATCAATGACTTAAGCTAGAGATAAACAAGTGTTTCTTGAATAGTCAAAGCCAAAAACGTAGCGTATTTTCTTTATAAACAAGAAAGCTGAGCGATGTTTTATTAACAAAAAACTGAAATCACAAAATAATTAGAAAGTTACATTAGCGTTTACGACAGTCTTCTTTATGGATAACTTATTATAAAAACACAAAAGGAAATATTCAGTGGCTTAGTTAACTATTCCATATAGAAATATAATGTTCCCAAGTATTCGCTGCACCACTTGTGCGTCAGAGATTGTACAATTGATACAGGTATATAGATTTATTAACATTTCACCTAGAAGCATATATATTTTATTCTGTTGCTACTGCACTAAAACTTAGGATAATATAAACAAGAAAGGTCCATAGACTGATTAAAAGATACATCATGGTGAGTGATAGATATACAAGACTGTTAAGTTTAAGAGTTATTATTTAGTTTATTTAGTGATTTAGTATTTAATGATTATTTAATTTTCATAATAAGAGTGTTAAAAGTTGATTATTTTAAAAGCGATAGTTATGAAAAGTTTCGTTACTTAACTCTCTTCGAGTCCTACGGTGTTTATGTAGTTTAATTGTTGCACTAGGCTTTTGTAATATTGATTACATCATCTTACTCGAAAGTTGTAAGTTTTTCTCGTTATGTGTAATATTGTTGTTACTAGAGGGCTAGATATTTCTAGATTTTTCTGTTGCGTGTTATAAATACGGACAGATACAGGTAGGAAGTAAGTATAAGTTAGTGAATGTAAAAGTGAAGTTTCACTGCATAATTGTCAGTTTAACCGTAATGTGTGATTTCTAACGTGAGTTCTGCAGCTTTTATTGTAACAACAGAGTAGAGGAGAATAATTTTTCTTGTCAAAGGGTGTTATAAATTAATTGAACTCGCCTGTGTAAACTTTGATGAAAAAAATACAATTATTTAAAGCTCTGGATACAACTGAAGTTTGTTTTTATAGTTAAGCACAAAGCTCTACAAAGGGCTATCTGTGCTCTGTCCACCACGGGTATCGAAACCCGAATTCTAGCGTTGTAAGTCCGCCGACATATCGCTGTGCCACTGGTGGACCATACTGAAAAGTAGAGCACCAATTAATTCAAGTGAAGTAAATTATAAATATTACAAGTTTTAAAATTTTAATTCGTGATTAACAAAGATAAATTTGGTGAAAAAAGTATATGAACTTCTTGAACTATTTAGTACAAGTATGTTAACTAAAAATTATGACAATGAGAGGTTGGGCAGTTAATAAATATATCTAAAATTTGTGGCATTTTACAAACCTCATTTTGATAAAAAAAACTGGTTTAGATTGTTTGTTTGTTGTACAGCAAAGCCACAATATGCTATCTGCTGTGTCTACCATGGGAATCGAACCTCGGATTCTATCGATGTAAGATGGTAAACTTACCACTATCCCACCGAAGGACAACTGGTTTAGAAAGATTCAACAACGTTTTTCAGAATTACATTATATTGGTAAAGAAATTGATACAAAAAGTTAAATAACATGAGGCTGTTGTCTTAAAAATTAATGTCTAACATTAGTTAAAATAACTGAACTTTCCTTTAAAGGTTGATATCTAGCGTTAGTTAAAATTACTGAAATTTCCCTTTAGAGGCTGTTATCTAACGTTAGTTAAAATAACTGAACTTTTCCTTAAAGGCTGATATCTAACGTTAATTAAAACAACTGAAATTTCCTTTAAAGGTTGATATCTAGCGTTAATTAAATTAACTGAAATTTCCTTTAAAGGTCGACGTATGACGTCAGTTAAAATAACTGAACTTCCCTAAAGGTTGATGTCTAACGTTAATCAAAATAACTGAACTTTCCTTAAAGGTTGTTATCTAACATTAGATTGAATTACCTGAAACTGCCTTAAGTTCCCCGGTGATTTAGAGTTAAACCTAAAGGCAAAAAACTGGGTTTCTATATCCGTGATGGGCAGAGCGCAGATAGCCCAATGTGTAACTTTGTTCAAACAAACAAACTGTCTTGGAGAACTATTTTAAAATTGATATGTAAAGTTGGGTTAGATTGACTACCAGGCTTTGCACTAACTTTGATACCCAAAGTATATGGATATTTTCTGACGTATCACAACAACACTAGTAAATGACGACCATTCTTTATCTATTTTTTACATTTCAGGTGGAATACGGAGATTCAATTGTGAATCAACACGTTACTGCCCCGTACAGTTCGACCTGGAACGTTGCAACAACCCCAAGATATGTTCCGTTCGAAGAGGAGCAAAATATAACATTAATGTGCGCTTCCAGTGGGGTGAGTGGGTTGTTTCTTTGTAACTTGGCAGAATATTTTTGATGGGGGTGGATGTGGGAGTGAAGCAATACAAAAATTAAAGAGAAAGCTAAACTTTCAGAATAACAACAAGGAAAAAAAAAAAGAACGTCCAGCACAATCGTTAGATGAGTACAAGAAACCAAGAATTATATACAGAGACAAAACTAAGAAATGTTTACGATGGGTGAATTTCATTATAAGAAACATAGTTCAGAACACCAAGGGAAAATAAAGGACACTCAATACATATAATTTTAATTTTAAGAATTAAGCCAGGAAAGTTTAAAGGCAAGATGTCACTGTTAGCTTCCCAGTTTAACGAGTTCATGGCTAGGAACCATACGGGTGTCGTTAAGTTCTTTCTGAAAGCAGAAGCTATTTAGTTAATATTTGATGAGGATTACTCTTTTATATTTTACATAATCAGCCATTTGGTAAATGCATAGGTTGGACCTTTTGTTACTGGGTTAATGTACAAGAAACGGACGAAAAGAAAAACACTTTGAAATACTCTTTCGAAGAAAAGAGAATTGACAAATTTTGATAGGTGTGATCGAAAAGCTTTTATTTTCTTGGGAAGGAGAAAATCGATTTAAATACATGAACTAACAGTAATTAAGAAAGTAGAAAAATACTTCTATACTTATATTATTCTTTTTCTTAAGAAAAGAGAAAACAACTTAAATGCATGTTTTGTTCTTTGTTTCAGTAGAGATCTTTCACCAATGATATTTTATAATGGGTTGTTTCAGTAGGGATATTCCATAGAGGGTATTTTACGATGGGTTGTTTTGTTACGGATATTGTAGAAATTTATAGTAAGGCTATTTTATTAGGAGTATTTATTTCGATAGGGATATTTAAGAAACATTACTTTTTGTTTCCTTATACCAAAATAAAACTATAATTTTATTAATAACAGGAGTTTGATTATTTGGTTCTCTAATTTTTTGGAAATTATCTTTTTAAAACAATTAAGTAGTTTAGCATTTTATGTGAATGAATAGCTTTGTAATATATTTTCTTTATATACAGTTTGTTTACTAAACAGTGTTAAGCTGTGTAATATTACATGAATAATCTCTTCTCCGTTTTCCCATGGCTACAATTGTTATGTGTATATTTCGAACATCAGGAACACAGTTCAATAGTTTGATACAGAAACATTAGGCATTTCATGCTACAAACCTATTCTTATCAAGATGCCTTTGCTACTTTTTTCCCCCCTTCCAGGTAACGAGGGCTCGGGGGTATTCAAGGTAGACCGAATATTGACAGGCGTATTGGGTTCAATGTTTGGCAAAATGGAAATTGATTATGAAACCCGAAACGCTTGCATCTCTGCTGGGGCCAAGAGAAGGTGTCGTCGAGAGGTCATGCTGAATCCGGGAACCTGGTACACGGCTGTCGATAAGTTCAATATTCCACAACTTGGTAGTTATGGGGTATGTTTTAACATTTATTATGTATTCAATCGAAACAAACCGTCCTTTCTGTTCTGTGTACAATAACAATCGATGTGAAGAGTTGTAGAGCAGGTTTTTTGTTTTATTTTCTTAATTTTTGTCCACTGGAATTTCAAGATTTGTGTTAAAGTTCAAATTTTAAAGTTTCATGAAAAATAAAACATTCATCAGGATTACTGGAGACATCCACCTACTCCATTATAATTGTATACACCTACACACGTCAGAATTACTGTAGACATCCACCTACTCCATTAAAACTGTATACACCTACACACGTCAGGATTACTGTAGACATCCACCTACTCCATTAAAACTGTATACACCTACACACCTCAGGATTACTGTAGACATTCTCCTATTCCATTAAAATTGTATATACCCACACACGTCAGGATTACTGTAGACATCCACGTACTCCATTATAATTGTATATACCATACACGTCAGAATTACTGTAGACATTCTCCTATTCCATTATAATTGTATACACATACACAGGTCAGAATTACTGTAGACATTCTCCTACTCCATTATAATTGTATATACCCATACACGTCAAGATTACTGGAGACATCCACCTACTCCATTATAATTGTATATACCCATATTCGTCAAGATTACTGTAGACATCCACCTACTCCATTATAATTGTATATACCCATATTCGTCAAGATTACTGTAGACATCCACCTACTCCATTATAATTGTATCTACCCATACACGTCAGGATTACTGTAGACATCCACCTACTCCATTATAATTGTATATACCCATACACGTCAAGACTACTGTAAACATCCACCTACTCCATTATAATTGTATCTACCCATACTCGTCAAGATTACTGTAGACATCCACCTACTCCATTATAATTGTATCTACCCATACACGTCAGGATTACTGTAGACATCCACCTACTCGATTAAAACTGTATACACCTACATACGTCCGGATTACTGTAGACATCCACCTACTCCATTATAATTGTATACATCCACACATGTCAGGATTAAGTTGTGATACTCAAATAAGTGTCGAGTTCCTCTCACCAAAAAGTATTCAACTGACTCCGCAGTAAACTTAACTTTATATAATATGCACTAATAATTTTAAGTAACTAAAGAAATATTTGCACATGTTCAAGGCTAATTATTTTCTAGATCAATAACATCTGACCTCAAAGCAATAAAATTGGTTGGCGGGTATCATTCAACACTATCATGAAATTTTATCTAAGTTTTAATAAAACTCTTTTGCCATTGGGTCCCAATAAATTCGGTGTTAGATATACACGACTGTTTCATTTAAATTTAATACAAGATGTATGATTTAATCATTTATAAAGCGCGAGTGTTAAATTTAGTATTTTTGGAAGCGATAATTTATCGCAGGTTTGCTTGCATAACTGTTTAGGAATCATTTGTTGTGTAGTTCAATTGTTGTGAATTGACGTCACTCGAACCTCCAGAATTTTTATCGTTTCTATCCATGAGTATTGTTACATCATAACGTCTCGTACTTTGTAGAAAGTTAAAGGCCTCAGTCAGGCACTATACCAAGTTAGTGGAAGTTAAGTAAAAGTAAGTTAGTGAAAATATAAATGAAATTAGACTGCATGATTGTCAGTTTAGCCGTAACGGGCGATTTCTAAAGTGAGTTTCACAGTTTGTATTATAATAACATAGATAGAGGAGAATAATTTGTCTTGTCAAAGAGTATTTTTAAGTGATTGAATACGCCTATGTGGATTTTGACGAAAAGGAGACAATTATTTAAAGCTCTGGATACAATTGTGATAACACGTAGTGTACAGATTTTGTACATATATTTGACTTGTTTTAAATATATTATTTCAAATCAAATGGATTGTGCACTGTCTGTTTATTGTTGAAATTTATCGCCAACAAGTCACAGACACCTACTGTAAAGAATCCAGTTCTATAAAAACCTGATATTCGGTTAAGCATCACCAAATAATTTTTAAGAAATGCATTGTTTACTAACTAAAGACTATTACTTCTTGTGGCTCTATCCTTTCATTAAAACTTGTCAAAATGTAGTTCATTAAAAAATTAGATGTTTTTTTCTTATTTCAGATGAAGTTTGGAGCTAAGTACCAACTTGTCACAAAAGGCCCCAATGGAGCTCGAATCACTTTGCTGTGTGCTCTGATGCGTGTGAAACTGGAGTAAAATGTGTTGTGTTTTTTTTATCTTTTGAAGATGAAATAAGAATTACTAATTATTGTTTATTTGCAAATTAATCTGTGCTGTTTGAATAATTTAAAATTAATATTTGTAGCTTTCAAACAATTCTTACTTTTCTGTAGACAATAAATGAATAAAAGTTGATAAACATAGCATAGAAATAGTATTTCACTATTCATTTACAAGTTTTACCTGTGACTTAAAATTGATAAAACCTGAAATTATGGTAATATATACAAAGAGTGGTGTTATGCAAAACACCATAGTTTTATTCTTAAGGACTTGAGCCCTAACACTTCTTTATTCTTAACGATGGTGCTTTTCCATCTTACAATCAGGTTGTTAATGCCCTGATTACAAAAATCACTTGGCTTTGAAGCAAAAAACATGTCGATGTCTTCTTTAACACCTTCCACATTTTCATACATTTTCCCATGAATATGGTGTTGCAGCGAATGAAAAAGGTGGTAATATGATG